CTTCAGAAAAACAACCACAGAAGTTTTCGTTGAGTAGTGCTGTGGGTGTCAAGTATAGATTGGTGTGGCTCTTCAAATGTCAGTTGGACAAGTGTTCTGTGTAAGCTAACTTACCTGGTTTTTCTCACTAAAGTTGTTCCACGATCCTCCAAGGGTTAGTGTGGAGGGAAAATCTCCACTAGATGCACTCGGACTGTGTAGCTCTGACTCCTCTCCCCTAAGATCTGCTCCCTTGTGGGAACCTCTCTAATTGCTCTCACCTTCATCAGGCTAGTCCCAGTGCAGTGCTCCTTCCTTAGTAACTCATGTCTTTAAGATTTTATTTCTAATGGGGATATCTGCCTCTCAGAGTTGTGGTTGAATAAACGAAGTATCACGTAAAAAGAGTGTAGTGTCCTTTCTCTATTTCTCTTATCAGTGATAATAAATTTTGATTAAATAAGTAACTTATCAGAAGATAGCAGCAGTAAATGTAGCTGCCAGCTGTTAAGAATTCCACATCTCAGCATTTGGGTTTATTATAATGATTATGTTAAATTGAAAGTGTCAATAAACTTAAGGGTCTTAAACAGTTAAGTAAGTAGATACTTTATTTTTGTTGTTTTGGGAGGGAGGAGTCATATAAGTAGACATCTTTATTCATTAAAATATTATTTTAGTATATTCCTTTATTTAATGCACACAGACTAAGATATGTGTTGTCTAGCCTAAAGATGTATAATGCTTGTCCTTTGTTCTTTGTAAAGAAGAACGTTAAAATTAATCTGTCCCTGACCCTCACCCTGACCCATACAGTGCTATATTTGAATTCTTCTCTGTGTTTTTTTAAAATATTTTAGGAGTCAATTCATGTTCCTGATCCTGTCATTTCAATAGCAATGAAGCCTTCTAACAAGGTAGGAGTTTGATTTAACGCCCAGTATACCGTAATGAAGACTGCTCTTCACCTATCTCCGCAATGCACATGGTATCTTGTGATAACCAGTAATCTTATGGTCTCTATTTCCTCTTTTGGTATTGAGATCAGCTTTTAAAATTTACCATTCAGCCCAGCCGGGCGTGGCTCAGCAGTTGAGTGTTTACTTGGGATCTAGGCGATCAGGGTTCGATTCCCGGTCAGGGCACATGCCCGGGTTGTGAGCTCGATCAATGACTCATCATTGATGTTTCTCTCTCTGTCCCTCTCTTTTCCTCTCTCTGAGATCAATAAAGACATATTTAAAAAATAAAAAAATAAAAATAAAATTTACCATTCAGTTAGTAATTATTCCTCAGTATATTTGAAGAAATTGATGGTACGAAAGTATTCATGAGACTGTGCTTAATAACTCTTTACTAAGTAAAGGTATAACATTTACTCCAGAGTGGTAAGTGTAACTTCCTAGATTCAGGACATAAAGGAATGGAAAAGGGGAAACAGAGGCATTTGTCCTAAGTTGTAGGAAAACCTCACTGTAAAGTACATTAGTGTATTACATAGATTAATAGCCTCATGGATTATAATACATCTCTAGATTTGTGGTAATTATAAAGTAAATGTCTAATTATAACATGGAAATCCTGCAAACAAGACTGTTTTTCTCACTTTCAAATATAATAAGTTTATGATTGGATTTGATCATTTAGCTTTTTACAAAGCCAAGATTACTTGAATAAGTTCTGCATTCCCATTAGCTTGCCGTTAGAATTAGTCCTGATCTTGAACCATAATTGTTTAGTTCTTAAATTGTCTTGACATTCATAACAATCACGTTAATGTGGCTATTGAAATGAGCTCATCCATGCATTGAGTGAACATTTATGACCTCTTGTTGTCTGGAAACTGTCGTTTACAGAACATATCCTGGTTTATCTTGTGGATGCATTAACAGCTTCCACTTCATCTGTTTTGAGGAACTTGAGATTTTACAGACCCTTTCATTATAGGAAGGAGAATGTTGAGGTGGCAAGAAACATTAAATTACTCCATCCCAGCAACCTGGGGAAAGGCAAGTCTTACACCTTACCACAGTGACATCCACAGCTGTTCCCAGCACTTTGCTAAATTGTTTGCTTTTCCTTCAGGGCTAGAAGGTAAAGATATAATGTTCTTCAGTCCTAAATTCAGAGTTTATGTAATTAAACTCTGAATATATGTAAACTTTTGTCTTGATAGTTTACACTCATGGAGGGAAATCAAATGTATCAATATCCAAGAGGTCGGGGGGAGGGGTTTGGTTTCTCAGGATTATCTGCTTGCTGGAGTAAATTCATTTAATTTTTTGTTGTCATTTAACCCTCACCAGAGGAGTGAGGATATTTTTTCCATTGCTTTTTAGACAAGAGTGTAAGGTGTAAGGGAAGGGGGGGGGGTGGAGAGAGAGAGAGAAACATTGATGTGAGAGACACATCAGTTGGTTGCCTCATGCACACACCCCAACCGGGGTGGGGATCAAACTTGCAACCCAGGTATGTCCTTGACCAGGAATCAAACCCTCAACCCTCTGGTGCACAGACCAACTCTCTAACCACTGAGCCATGCTGGCCAAGACTGGAGTAAATTAAATAATGAAATCACTGCACAAAGCTGTGAATCTCAGTGGTGGAGGCAGGGATGATCTTCTAGGAAGCTGAGAATACCTGGCAAGTGCAGGGAAAGGACTTTGGAGATAGACTGATCCAGGATTCATTCTCAGCTTTGCCAGGCACTGTGTGTGTGGCCTTGAGCAAGTCACTTATCTGTACCTAGTGTCCTCACCTGTAAAATGTGGATAACTCTCTTGTAGCATTGCGGTTAGACTTTGAGATAACATATACAAAATACCTGGTGCACAGCTCCAGGCACATGGAATAGCTATTATTACTGGTAATTCAATGGCACGTTAGTTTTCTGTTGCTGCTGTAAGAAATTACCATGGACTTAGTGGCTTAAAACATCACAAATGTATTATTTTATAGTCGTGAAGGTGAGAAATCTAACATGATTATTAATGGGCTAAAATCAAGATATTGGCAAGGCTGTGTTTCTTTCTGGAGGCTCTAGGGGACCTGCTTACTCAGATTGCTGGAAGAATCCAGCTTCTTGTGGTTGCGGGACTGGGATCCCCATTCCTTGCCATCATCTGAGGGCTGTTCCTGGCTTCTAGAGACTGGCCCCCTTCCTCCTGCCTTCAGTGCCAGCAGCAGTAAAATGAGCCCCTCTCATGCTTCAGATATTTCCTGCCGCTTCTTTCCTCTCCACATCTTCCCACCTACCCTTCTGCATTCCTCTTCCATTTTTTAAAAGCCTATATAATTACATTGGGCCCACCCAAATTATTCATGTCTGTAACCTTAATCACACCTGCAAAGTCCCCTTTAGCACGTAGTGACACTCACAGGTTTGTGGGGGATTAGGCATGTCCTTAGAGGGCCATCATTCTGCTTACCACATAAGGAGATTACATCCGAGGAGAATAAAGATGCATGAAACCACATCCAAACAGATTGTTTTGAAACTCTCAGTGTGGCGTTCGCCTTACTGTTGGTCCTAACTGTCCTCTTGAGTCTACAATAGTCTTGGTAAACATACCAATTCCTTTGATTATGTAACAGTAACACATATTCTACTTTCTGCCTTATGGGCAGTTTTCCACAAAGGGACAGTTTTTGTCTATATAATAGGAAAGGGCATAGAGTTAAGTCTTAGACTCTTGTATCTTGGTATGGAAAGAAAATTCTATCAGCTAACTATTCCCCGCTCTGTTGGCTGTGTGGTACCCAAGCTCACATACTTAAAGGTATGGCCTAGGAACTAGATAGTAGACCATTTTTACTTCTTCACTGCGTATGTCTTTAATTTCATTCAGTAAAGTTCTTTCAACAGTCTCATTGCGTGTCACGATTAGTAAAATGTGAAATGACTTTCTTTTTTAAAGAATGATCTGGAGAAATTTTCAAAAGGTATTGGCAGGTTTACAAGAGAAGATCCCACATTTAAAGTCCACTTTGACACCGAGAGCAAAGAGACAATTGTGTCTGGAATGGGAGAATTACACCTGGAAATCTATGCTCAGGTAATAACAAGGAAGTTAAATTCACTTTATGTCTGTGTTTTGTTAAGAGCAAAAGTCAGTCATTTTCAGTCTAATGTCCATAAACTAATAGCGCTTTTTCAAACTCACTCTGGTTTGTAGCCAGATGTGGTATACTGCTTCCTCTACTATGTATTACAAATTAATTATTTTTGATCTCTAAATCTTTTTATTTGTAAAACATTGCAGACTTATAGAATCAAGGTGCAGGGAATTTGCAATTAGGCCATACATCCACCCCTAGGCCATGGTTAGTTGGGTTAAGTATATCCTGGTCCCAGCCTTAGGGAGACAACCTGCAGGGAGAAACCTGCTGAGAAAGTTGGGTCATCAGTTCCCACTCTTCAGGTCATTTCTTGCTGTTTTATTCTCCAAGTCAGTACTTGGAGATCATTATAATAAAGATAAAAGAATGGGTAGGTGGCACATGCACTTTCCTAGGAAAGGCCTTACGTGTATCTGTTGACTTAAGATTAAAAATTCTGGTTGTGATCATACATTTGAAATTGAGACACTACAAGATTCTGACAACAGATTCATATACCATTCCATCTAATATGTAATAAGATGGAACAAAGATGAAATTTTAGTGGCTGTGTTAATTGGATGTAAATGTAAATTAATCAATCTAAATTAGAATTCACTTATACAGAATCTGTAAAAGCAGTGTGTATTATTTAATGTAACGTATCTAATCCTTGTGAGATACTTAAATGATTTAAGATTGATCATTTGCTTACCTATTGTATTTAAATGAATGCTTCTAATAGTTAAGATTCTTAGGACTTTTCTATTTTTTAAATTTCAATATACCAAAAAAAGTATTTCCCCTGCTCTTTTTAGAGGATGGAAAGAGAATATGGCTGTCCTTGTATCACAGGAAAGCCAAAAGTTGCTTTCAGAGAGACCATTACTGCCCCTGTCCCGTAAGTATGCAGCACACTTGAATTTGCTATGACGCTGGAGTTGAAGCTTTTTATTATGGGATATACAGAGCACTGTTACTGTTGTTAATACACTTTTACATCATGACACTCTTTATTATGGAAGTGATACAGTTCTGTGCCGTAATCAAGACATTTATACAAAGTGGCATTCGGGGGTGTGTTTGGCCCCTTCAGCTAGGTATCAGCGAAGGCTGACATACACGTCGTTAATAAGCATATGGACGCTCCATCCAGTGTTGGGGTCTTTGTTTAGTCCAGCTGTGCTTCCTTCGGCAGACGGCTATTATGTTTTACTTTAGTACCATACTGTGGATGCCAGAGGACTTGCATTTGCCAAGGAATAATCTCCTGCAAGTAAAGGAAACTAACGCTAGGATAAAATTCAGAAAACACTGGAGAAAACAGTTGGGTTTATATTTTCTTAGAGACAAAATAGTCCTCATAAAGACTAGCACAAAACAAGTTAAACTGTTGCAAGTATAATATACTTCCACCTGGAGCCTATTTAAATTTACATGAATTCTGATTTAGAGTCAAAATTAATAACGCATACTGTGGCTATAAAACAAGTCTCAGTTTTCAAAGTGGCATCAAATAAAGGTAAATGGTACTTTACCTGAGATGCAATGTCATGAAGTAGAATGGTGTAGTCTAGCTCAATGAAGTCGTCATTTCTTTGCTATAATAAATAAAAGCCTGATGTGTAAACAATATCATTGGGAAAATGATATTTTAATTTTAAAAATCAGTTTTCATTAGTAGATGATTATAATACTTCAGTAAAAATAAAAATTGAATGTCAGAATTTATTTAGCCTGACAAAAAAGCTTTCTCTTATAATTTTTTCAAATTACAATTTAAAAATTAGGAATTTTCATTTGTTACTCTAAAAATCATTTCCCTTTCTGTTTTCAGTTTCTAAGCTGTGATAGCTACTTAAGAGTATTAGTCTATAGTTTGTCATTTAAAATTCCTTAATGCTTACATTGTTGAGAAAAGCATAATTTAAGGGAAAATATTAAAGGAAATAAATTTTATAATAGAACTTCTCTTTAAAAAACTGAAAATAGCCCTCGACGGGTGGTTCAGTTGGTTGGCGAGTATTCCTGTACACCAAAAGGTTGCCGGTTTGATTCCTAGTCAGGGCACATAGCTAAGTCACAGGTTATCTTGAAGTAATCCTTTCTTTAACTGTATCAACAAAGAATGTCCTTTAAAAGATAAGGTAAAAGTCAGTAGTAAGGTTTCTTACATGTTGAATCTTAATAGGTAAAGATATATATATAGCCTGAAGCAGTGGTTAAACCCTTCTTTTGAGATTTGCATTAACGCTTTAAAACTACAATTTGGTGAAGGGTTATAAGCGTTTTCTTTCATAAAACCACTATCCCTGTCTTTGTGCACATTTTGCTATTAAAACATGGCTTGAAAAATCATGACACTGGGGACACATTTAGAATCACTACTAACCAAAGGAGTCACAGGTGCTTGTACTGCCCCTTGGAGTCCAGGACTTATTTCAGTACATTGATTATATAAGCCTTAAAGAGCCCAGACTATTGATTGTGGTTCTAAACTATGTGGATGCAATGTTTGTGTTGCTGGTGGTATAAATACTTCCTATGCACAAAGCAGTAAGTAGAGATCAAAGCTTTAATTTCAAAATCAGATTACTACATTCACTACATTTTACTATTTTCAGTTTTGTTTTGTTTTGAATCCTCACCTGAGGATATGTTTTTATTGATTTTAGAGACAGAAGGGAGAGGGAGGAACATCAATCGGTTGCCTCGCTGTACAGGCCCCAAGTGGGGATCAAACCCGTGACCTAGATATGTGCCCTGACCAGGAATCAAACCTGCATCAGTTACTCAATTATTTGAGGCCTCAGTGCCCCTATAGGAATGGTAATCAGGATTGATGTCTATAAAAATGCATTAGAAAAAGGCACTATTTCTTAAAATGTTGTTTTAATGTTTATGTTAGGTGTTTGACACCACACTCGTGAGTATTGTAATTGGGTATCCTGCCCTCCAGCGCCTATAGGTATCTACTAACTGGCTGCAAAAAGCCTTTGGAGTAAAGGTGCTCCAAGTGCTGCCTGCAGTCATCCAGCTGTAACAAGCCAGCTGGGAAGTCTTTTATGGAGCTAAAACTGTTGCGGTGGTTTCTTTGCACACTGTCTTCCTTCTTTTCCATTAGATACCACTAGTTGACACAGTTGTTTTCTTCGTAACGCCTTAATAAAGCTAAAATCAGAGAATATATTTTTATATGTTCAAGGTCTAGAGAGAGGCAGGTCAGAATAGTCATATCAGACTTAGGATATGAGGCTGTAAATTATGACTCAGTGGGTTATAAAAGATAAGCATATACAGCAAGGGCCACAAAGCCTGAGGTGCTAGTATTTTTGTTCTGGATGATCCCTGGGGAGAAGGTGGCAGCCATGTTTCTAAGTAGCTCTGGCACTACCTTTTCAGTAGAGGAAAAAAGCAGAGGTAGTTTCAGTATTGCATGACTATAGTAATTTGTACACAAAACTTAGGTTGCCAAAGGAAATAGTCTGCATTAAGCTGAGCACAAAAACTAAATGCCAAATGACTTATAACTTAAGACTTCACTCTCTCAAAACTGCAGCTTTACTTCCTCTGGCGTTGATTGTAACCAACCCCTCCTTCAAAATACTGGGTACACTATTTTAAATACAAAATTACTAATCATAACACTTTGAGTAAACATTAACCCTATTAAGAGTGTATTTTATAGACATTACTTACCACTTGCTTGACAGTTTGAATTTTTACCATTTTATACCATGTGTTTTCAGTAGAATTCTGCCATATTATATAACCACAGGCAACCCAGGCTAAATGTCGAACTGGCTTCATTGCTGGAGATACGTTTCCAAAACTGTCTGGTGAGGGAAACATGATAAATGGAATTACTTTATATATACAGTATTAACCATTACAAAACCTAAATTCTAAGTCATGTCTTAGTTTCCTTCAAATATGTGCAGAAAATAAGCCATGGATATAAAGTCTCAAGAGATTTTGTTGTTGAATTAGATTGGTAGTAGATATTTTTGCAAAAGCCAGTATGTTTCCAACATAATGTTAACATCTAACAATTTTGAGCATAGATAATTGATATTGATCTTAAAGTTGAAAAAGTATTTTTCCATGCAGTACTTATATACCTGGAATATTCTGTGCTTCTAGTGGCTCCTTCATGGACTTGAGTTTTTGATAAAACGTGTTATCTTCTTCGTCTGGGTTCTTTCCAATTTCTCCTTCAAATGTGAAGTTGACTTCTGGTGCAGTATCTTGTCCCATTGGAGGGTAAAGTACTTCAGCTGTGCAGTTCACTGTCACTTGCTGTTTGAGACATTTTGCAAAGGATCTTTACATGTAGATGGCCACCCATTACTATTGCTCTCTGAGATATAACATTTGAAGCTTTGGCCCCTAATGATGATGTTTCAGATTTGATTTCAGAGTGCCTCCTCCAGAGATAATCTAACTGGGGGAGGCCTAGTGATTTTCTTAGATGTATCTAAAATAGATAACTTATTTTATAACTTAGGGTGGTCTCATAATCTTTTAAATTCATCTTAAAACTTGGAATATATTTCAGACTTAATAGGGTGTCTGTTTTCAAGGCCAGATTTTAGTCTGACTTTATATCCCAACTGGAAACTCTGGTTACTTTTTAATTCTTTCCATTACTCTTAACTCTCTCCTTCAGAAATAACAGTAATTTTCTCAAACTCAGATACAGCAATCTGTATATAGATGCAAAAATGAGAAGATTGTAACATTAGTTCTGCTTTGTAAAGATGGTTGTCTAGCAGCTGAGATCCCTTTTAATGAGTCTCCTTATGTTAGCTTGTATCTCTTCTGAATTAGGCTCAATAAAAGGGCAAGCTTTTTTTAAATTTCAAGATGGTTACGGTACAAATTGGAATTCCTTCCTTTTAAGTTTGTCTCATTAATAATTTGACAAGTATATAAAAATTTCCCTTTCCCATTACTGAAAGATTCTCATCTGAACATGATGGTATCAGTTGGCCATTCTGTTGCTCATAAATATCTAAAAACACTTGCTTTCTTTAAAAAAAAAAAAAATCAAATGCAGAATGAGAAAAAGACAAAGTGATGATGATTGGAGAGTAATTTATAATTTATTTCACTTGTTAATAGGCATGAGTTCAGACTGCCCTATGAGTACATAACATTTTTAAAGGGAATTTATTTGAACTGAAGCATATAGAGTCTTTTTTTAAAAGCTCAATAGAAATACTTCATGTACCTCAGAATACACAAAAAGAGTAAAAACTGACCCTTGTATGGTCATTTTTTTCAAGGTAGGGTTTCACAACAACTTACAAAAATACAAATTAATCCTATGGTTTGATCAGCAAAGGTGATCTGGAATATTTAGAGTTAAATTTTATTTAATAAAAAGGATATTTCACTTACTTTCTGGATAATTTCTTCCACAGAAAACTTAAGGCAATACTTATGTCCTCTTCCTGGAATATCCTAAAATTAAGAAAACGTGGTGAGTTATTAAACAATAACTCAGCTCTCTGCATTGTTAAAAGAACCCGTTCTCATTTGGTTGGGCGGAGGGCGGGTGGGTGGCTGGTGGGGGTAAACAATGAGAGCCTTAGGCCTTAGAAGCATTTGCTGTGTCTGTAGCATCTAATTCAGCAGCACCTCCATCCAGTTTATTTTGGATGAGAAGAAGAGTGGGGTCAAAGCATTTACAGGTAAAATGGGTTCCAGTTCCCTTCAGTCAGAGGACTTCAGCCTCTGGATATGTGATTCTAAATTCTCTATACAAGAAATTTTGAAACAACTTTTAATTCTAAAGATGACAAACAGGATACATCATTGAAAAGATTTTTCATAAAGTCCTGTATACCCTCCAAATAGTGTTCAATGAAGGTGAATTCCATTTTGAGGCAGATTACTGCAAAGTGACTAGACATATTAAGTACTGTTTTTACCTGTATACTACTAGGCCTGAAAAATGCTACTTTAGCAAATTTTATAACAGTAAGACAAATGTTTAGGTATTTCACTACTGTATCAAGATACAGCGGGGCATTTATACCTAATTAGGTTACCTCGTGCAGTTAACATCTCCTCCCTGTCGGCTCTTAAAGACTGTTAGCAGTTAAACTAATGTCAGATAAATAATGAACAATCTCAAACCCATTAGATTTTCGCAAAATAGAAATAAACTTAGTGATTGCTGAGGTCGTAAGCATTTAACCCTTTAGCCAGAGGGAGCAAGCACATCATTTATGGCAGTTGGTTGTACTAGTGTTTTGGGTGGTTAAAGCGAAGCTTCAGATCACACTGACCCTGGCTGTCATTTTCTCTTGCCTTTTGTTTCCCCCATCGTTTTGTTCAAAGGGTCTAATAAGGATTGGTCTTCAAATGAAGAATCGTTTGCAAGCTGGGAGCTTTTGTTGGTCCAGATTGTGGAGTAGTAGATGAGAAATGTCACAGGGTTTAAGGTCCTTTTGAATGGTTCCTACAGGTTTCACTGGGAGAAGGGGAATGCTGTCAGTCACGCGAACATTCCCCATTTCCCTGTAATAGCGCCGCTAGAAACTACCGTGTCTCTCTGCCTTCCCTTGAAAACAAACAGGCCCGGCTCCCCCAGAGGCTGGAGGGCAGACTGTTCCCCAGAAGGGCTAACCTCTGGGGTCCCCGCCCCGCGGCCACCCCAGAACGGGGGCGGGGCGGGGGCTCGTGGGC